AAACACCGTCTACCGAGACGAGTGTTGTTCTCCGTGCCTCCTTCAGGATGGCGCAAACCGCGAGGTGGACAGCACATGACTTGGCAAAAAGGCGTGAAAGAGATCACGAAGAGTTTGGGTGTTGTTAGTGTTGTAGGCCTTCCAGGATGGGGTCCCCGTGACCCCGTCTGTGCTTGGCTGGAGACGTTGCAAGAAATGGCGGCTAATCGATGTCAATGGCGTTCTTGTTGTCAGTTTCTTTCCAGATTGTTTGATTGAGCGTTCGGAGGTGTAAGCACCTCAGTATGCTTGACATAGGCCAGTACTGGGTCCCGCCACCCACTCTTCTTCTGTTCTTTTCACTCTATGGCTTTATATATACGAACCTTATGGTTGTACGGCAGTGAAGCATCAGTGCCAACACTGATGTTGCTGTCTTTGTTGATGATGATGATGGTCAAACTTCTGTGATATTTGCAGGTTGACTTGATTTCTATGGATAGCGTGCCACCGACAAACGGTCATGGTTGGTCATAGTCGTTGTTTTTATTCTTTGTCACAGATTTCGGTTTGCCAATTTGGGATGCTGGTAGCTTAGGTGGGTTTACTTGCTGCTTGTTGATCTGTTCGTCCAGTTTGGCTGTTGACTTGCGTCAACCGTGCACTAATGACGTGGCCGCGAACGGTCACAAAATGTTTGGAATCCACTGAACAGATCAACATTCGCTTGATCAACTATCGGGTTACGATTTCTCGATTTTCTCTGTGTGAGTTTCGCATTACAGCGGTACACGTAACCATATTCAGAGATCGAGGCAGCTCAGTTGTTCAGGTGTGAAATTACTGACCGGGAGGTCCTTGGTTCGAGGCCAACTTCGGCATCTCAGCTGATCCTGTCTAGGCTGGGGTGGCCTAGCAGTAGCTCCATTCTCGTGTTTCTTTCCGGTAGCATAACAGCTGGGCACCTAAAGGGCGTTACAGCTGAAGCAGCAGGCGAGGAACCATCTTCAGCGTTCACATGTGAATCAGACTTTTCCTCATTGCTAATGTAACCGGGACAACCGCTTACAGTGAAGATTAATTTGTCTACCACGAATTCACTCACAAAGCAGTTCTTCTCCTGTACATGATCGATTACTCATAGTCATCATTGACAACAACACTGGTGCTTCACCGGCGTACAACCATGCCTACGGCTGAACTAACGAAAACATCCGAGTCACCTACCCCTCCAACACTCAATCTGACCATCTGGATTGAAACTGACAGCATGAACGCCAGTGAAATCGCTTAAACGACATATTCAGTATCTCCATCCAATTGCAAGGTCACATGGACCTCATCCTGGAAGCTGGAGGAATTCAAAGGGACAAACTCAATGTCACCGGAGTTCATACACCTCTTCTACTGAGTAAGTTTAGTCCAACCTGCTCTCAACCATTCCGTGTAATTTAGTCGAAAATTCGTAAAATTCGTGGACATCGTTTTTTTGCGCTCAGACGGACAACTTCCAACCGAGACGATTGGAAAACGGCTTTCTCTGGTG